TTAATTGGGTAAAGGCAGCACCACCGACATATAAACGATGGATAGAGGAGGTAACGGCACACCTAAAGCTAGAACATCTTCAATTTATGTCACAGGGTACCATTAAGAGATATTTCAAGATTTGGCAACCTTTTATTTTCTATTTTGAATCCGAGGTTCAATCTGCTTCAGCACAATCAGCATTATTTTTTTAAATTTTTTTATTTATGTATTTATTTATTTTTTTTTTGGCGGAATTATTATCATTATGATTGTTATTCATACTTATGTTTTTGGTTTTCAATCCATGGATGTCTGGAACATGGGTTGTATGTGCGTGTGTAGTAATTGTCTTGTTGATAGTTTTTTTTTTTTGTGATGTCGTTGTGACGTAATTATGGAGTCTTTTTGTTTTGTTTTGTTTTGTTTTGTACGCCCTGGATGGGGTGTTTGTTGCTTTAATATGAAAAACTAATAAAAACAATGTGATTCTTAAACTAAGTACATTTGTTCTTGAATTGAGAAGGTAATTGAGACACTTTGCCAATGGAACAAGACAATTTACATTTAAAATAAGAATAAGCAGCTGCATTGTCTTATTCCAAGTGCAGATTATCTAATTATCTTTTAAGAGTAAAAATACTCATTCCAATGGAAAATCATCCCATTTACCTACTAAACTTTAGGGTAAATACACTCGATTTAAGAAATGTTTACTTATTTCTGGATCATTTTTGCAGTGTGTGAGATATGAGCTGAGAAAGAAGACAAACTCAGTTTTGTTAACCTTTAGTCTTTTGACAGGCGTTTGTTCAAGTACTTCAGACCTGCTCCTCAGGTCCTCCAGGTAAGAGGAGAAGCTGGATTCATTGTTCATCGACCTTTTCTGTGGAACAGCAACACCTACTTTACCTGAGGAGGAAACAGAGAGGAGCTTTAAGGCACAACAGCTTAATGCACTGGAAAAACGATCTAGAAATAAGTAAAAAATGTCTTTAATTAAGTGTATTTACCCTTAATCTGAGTAGGTAAATGAGATAGTTTGCCAATGGAATGAGTATTTTTACTCTTTAAATAAGATAATTAGATAACATATTTTCTTTTTGTTCCACTGGCAAAATGTCTCTTTTATCTCCTCAAACCAAGAACAAATGCACTTATATTAAGAAAAAATGACTTATCTAGATTCCGTTTTTTCCCAGTGTGGAAGCTTCTAGATTATTGAAACAAACCCACAGACAAAACATTGTTCTACTTACAGCAGCCATGAGCACAGAGACTTTTATTCTTGCAGAGATGGTTGCACTCTTTTACTGGCTTGTTTCTTTTACTGGTTGAATCTGATCAACATCAAACATAAAAAAGAAAAATCATTTATATGGCTTATTTTAACTCTAAAAGGGATGTGAAGAATTTTACTTTGTGGCTTTGAACAGCGTCATCATAATTATGGAGTCAACTTTGCTCCAATATTTTTGCAAACATTGAACCCATTTTGTTAATGGAAATTTGAAAAAAAAAAAAAAAAAAAGAAACCTAGGAAATAAAGTTAAAAACATCTACATCAAAATATTGTTTTGCTTTTTTCTCATATTTTGTTATTTCTTTACAAAAAAGTAAAAAAAACAAAAAAAAAAACAGGTATGGCTAACAAAGAACCCAAACAACCCACATTCCTAAGGGGCGGACCCATTTGTCAGGCTAAATTTGCATGTTCTATATGTCAAAACAAGGCTTTGTTGGGATACTTTATAAATTTGAATTGAAAAAGCTTCCTGGATGGGAAGAGAAACGTCTTCAAACTTGGAAAAAGTCCAAAATCCAGTGGATTTTTTTTGTTTTTTGTATTGACTATTACCTGGATGATTGAGAATCCTCACCAGCATTTTGCTATTTCAAATATTTTTGATTTTAATACCGTATATCTAATTATTCCAAATTTCTTTTTCAGATTAAGTTTTAAGAATTTAATTCTTATCAAATTTCTCCAAACATCACATTCTCATCAGTTCAACTCCTCCACAAACTGTTGGAGAAAACATCAAATTAGCTTTAAAACCTACGTACTTTTGATTATGAAGTTTC